GCCCCGTGTGGCGGGTGGCGGTGCCCCTCCCAGCCGCTGGCCTCTCTCTGTCCTGGGGTTCGGCAGGATGGAGGCCAGGGACGTCCCCATCACCATCCCTGCACTGGCCACGGAGCTGCGGTTTGCCCAGCGCCTCAGGTGAGCCTGCAAAGGGGAATGGGAGCCCTGCAGCTGCTCCGGCAGGGTGCTGGTGGAGAGGAGAGCTCAGAGAGCCAGCCCTGCACCCTTGCGGGGATCTCTTCCCTGTGGTGGGGTGGGCTGTGGGGCTGGAGAGGGCCTGACTGTGCCTTGGCCTTGTAGGGAGCATTTGGAAGAGGAGCAGCTCCTGGATGGGCGCTACCGGCTGCAGGAGGTGCCGGGGGGATGTGTGGCCCTGCCTGAAGCTGTCCCAGCTATGGCTGCCCCAGGAGGTGCCCTGTGGGCTGGTCCAGATTCAGGTTGAGAGAGACCCTTCGCCCTGACCCCCACTGCAGGGTGGCGGGACCTCAGCCCCACGTGCCACATCCCTCCGGCAGGATCCCATTCCCTCCAGGGCAGCCCGCCGACGGACACCTGTCCAGAAGCTGCGGGACAAGCTGCAACAACTGCTGGGTGAGAGCTGGTCGGAGGAGCTCGAGCGTGATGTGCCCCGTGCATGGCAGCGGCATGGGGACTTGGTCCTGCTGAGCGAGGACAGCTTCAGAGCTGCACCATGGGAGAAGCTGGGTAAGGGGGAGCGAGGTCTGTCTGCCCAGGTCCTGCCTGCAGAGCTGCCCTGGCCTTTCCCAAAGCTCCTGGGATGGTTGCCTTGCAGGTCCAGCCCTCTGGGAGACAGTTGCCTCAGCTTTGGGTGCCCGGCGACTGGCCAAACGAGGACGGGTATTGCCAGATGGAATGCGGTCCCCCAGTGTCACCCTGCTGCTGGGCCAGGATGGCTGGGTGGAGCACGTGGACAACGGGATCAGGTAGGCAGGAGCTGCGGTGCGGGATGTGGCCAATGTGGGGAAGGGGCTGCCCTCAGTGGGCCGGTGGTGTCTTCCAGGTACACGTTCGATGTGACCAAGTGCATGTTCTCACCGGGCAACATCACGGAGAAGCTGCGGGTAGCCTCACTGCCCTGCTCCGGGGAGGTCCTGGTGGATCTTTATGCAGGTAATGGGGATGGCGGAGGGGTTTGGCAAGGCAGGCTTGTGGGGGCAGGCAGGGAGCAGTGATGGAGGTACTGATGGCATCCAGGTGGATGTAAAATGCTGTTTCCAGCCTGGACTGGAAAAATATCCAGGCTTAGAGCTCCTGCCCTGTCTGTGAGACTTCAGCTAATCTGGCACAGCTCTCCCTCCTGTGTCCCTGTTGCCTTTGGACACTCAGGATGACCTTGCACTCAGGCTCTGCAGAGCAATGCTCTGTACACAGTGCTGGTCATGGGAATCATTTGGATTCAGGGCAAAGATTTGCCCTCAGTCTTGTTTCTGAAAAGCTCCTGTAGATGTCCTGAGGCTGTACTGATGTGCTTTTGTGACAAGCTGGCAGTAACTGAGGTGTCCTGTTTCTGTGAGATGACTGGGGAGATTGCATCAGGCGTTTGCACGTCAAGAGAGCCACTGTTTTGTGCTTAGCAAGTTATTGCTTACAATTTGTCCAACACGGAAAGGATGTGGCACTTGCAGAACTGCTCTGGATTAATTAAAATTAGTGGTAGTCTGGGCACTTCTGCACAGAGTGGAAGCAGGGCAGGGCAGGTCTCGAGCTAAGGGCCAAAGACTGAAGGTAAAATAAGCTCCTCTAAACATTTTTCAAGACAGATTTTATTTTTGCAGAGGAGGGAGGGAGGAATTTCCATTTTCCTAGCATCTGGGCTTGTTCCAACCTGGAGCAGAGAAGATTCAGGGAGCCATGGTGGCAGTCTGCATCCTGCCCTGCCTCTGGGGAGGAGGGTGGACC